TACATCCCAAAATTTATTTCAATGCAAGTGGAGTTTGCAATTAAGAGATATATCATTTCAAAATTTAAAAAAAGTGAAACCCATTTCGATTTGAGTGATACTATGTATAACTCTATATTAAATTATTGCTTGATGTGATTTGAATTTGTTATATACATTTCATATTTCATTGTAAATGCCATGCAACTATTACTATATAGTTGAAATGACGCCCATACATATATGAACTGATTTGGTATAAAACTTCGCTCAAGTTTAGCTGACATATTTTCCCCTAAGCGGCTCTTTTTCCCCATGTCCAGCTATCAAATAGTAAACGGACTATAGCAAACTGATCAGACAACTTACATATAAGTGACTGATAGACGATCGGCGTCATATCAATTTGTCTACATTAAACCAGCTCATATATCTTTGTAACACATATCATATATCTTCGTGGCTTATCTATGTGAGTCTCAAACATGCCAGGGCAACGCATTGGAACCTTTCACAAACAAAAATTAGAAAAAAAAAGAAAAAAACGTTATTAAAAGTATTGCAAAAACAAATTTCCATGCTAGTCATTATGTTTAACTGGACTAGAACCGGGTCAATGAACTGGTTTTGGTTTCTTCTATTTTTTTAGAGTTGCGGCAGATCTCAGCCAGAGCTGATGACGATCTATGTGCCACAAACGTGTCATAATAATAACCGAACTCAACGAACCATAAAACCCGCTGGCAGTTCAAGCATATCGAAGGGATCTACCGAGCACCCTCCCATCGACCTGTGCTCTATGCCCACTTCTTGGTCGTAATGTGCTATCGGACTTGTGTGTCTGTCTCTGTGTGTGTGTGTGCTCTTCCTCTTCTACTTCGATGTCGACGGCTGCTTGAGCATTTCTTTTTGGCCGCATTTTGTTGACTTAAACGTTATCGCTGTGGCCGCTGCACAAATTGTTGGTGTTTGACAAGTAGTCAACAATTTACTTTATTTTGTTGATAACAATTATTGAACGCCCCTTGACACGCAGTCAACTCGAGCATGGGGCGGATGTATTTGTTTTATTTGTGGACTTTCCGCCCGCTCCCCATGAATGTGGAGTAGTTGTTGTTCATTAAAAAATTTCATTCAGAATTTATGACCCTAGCCAATAGTTGACTTCTTGGCCTCCGCTCGGCGATCGCATTGAGTGCAGTCTCTCTCTCTCTCTCTCTCTCTCTCTCTCTCTCTCTCTCTCTCTCTCTCTCTCTCTCTCTCACTCCCTCTCTGTGTCCATTCGAATTGATTTTCTATCAGGGCCATAAATTTCTGTGGAAAAAACTGTTATTATTACGAAAATATTTATGACACACTTACTATGTACAGCCCCCCACCCACTCTCTGGAACATTGTGCTACAACACTTATTTGAAGCACAGCTCACACATTTCTATCCAAACATATTTGCAGTGAGACAAACACAAGTCAGTCTGAAGCTAGCAGAAGTTTGCACTCTGCACTTAGTCAGCATTTTCTTTAATTAGAACTAAAAGTTCTGCCCTTCGCTTCGGTTCGCCTCGTTGGCAGCTCCAATTTCCAATGCCTGACAAATTCATGAATTTCAACAAGATTTACAGCAAATTTTGCAAATTGAAAACGCATATAACATATGTGCTGTGTGTGTGTGTGTGTGTGTGTGTGTGTGGCGGGAGGGAGTGTGAAGCTAGGGGCAGTGGTGCGCTGTGCCAGTGCCAAATTATGTCAAGGTATGTTAAGCCACGCCTCCGCTGCCCTCCCCTCGACTCACCCGCCCGAGTCGTGCATTTTGCGAGCTAAGCGTTTTCTTGGCTCACAGCCAAGTCTGATAATGCCAGCGAAAATCGGTATAGGCTGTAGGCAGCAACACAATGGCATTGCACCACTGCAGCAGCAGCAACAACAGCAGCAGCAGCAGCAGCAGCAGCAGCTACAACAGTTTCTCTTCCGCCCTGCCTGCAGACAATTACAGTAAACAAATTCGCACACGTTTGCTAGCTTTTGCCTGCTGCGGTGACAGGCTGCAAAACAAGAGACGAAAATAGACAGCAGCAACAACAGCAGCAACAGCAACAACAGCAGCAACAGCAGCAGCAGCAACAGCAGTAGCAACAGCAACAGCAGCAACAGCAGCAGCATTTATAACTCTAAGAAAAAAAATGCATAAAAGCTTTTCAGTTTGTGTGTGTGTGTGTGAGGGGCGTTGATGGCACGCCCACATGCCTTGCGGTCATGGCCATGCCCAGGCCCAAGCAGCTCGCATGTATTTTTGGCACAGGCACAGTTTTTGGCCATGCAAGAGATTTGCATTTTTTATGCCACGCCCCAACAGTGCCTACCATACGTATGGCCCTAGCATACTTTTCTGGGCCATGCAACTATGTGCATGTGTGCATGTGTGTGTGTGTGTGTCTCTGACAATTCAATTGAATTTGTGGTGCTGGCTCTTGAGGAAGCTGCTGCCGTTTACAGGTTTAAGTTGCAGCCAGTCGCCCAGGGCCAGACTGACTGACTCCATGGCCTGACGAGGCAGCAGCAGTTGGCGAGTTGCCCATGTGGTCGAGTCCTTGCCGCACGCTGCTTGATTTATGAGCGGCAATTCAGCCAGGCAACGCATCAAAACGGCTTTTCGCATTGGATTGTAATGCATTTGCCATCAAATGATTCGCTTTATGAGTCAGCCTTTGTTTGCCTGTTTACTCTAGCATTTAAACCAGCCTCTCACACACTCCATCTCCCTCTCTCTCTCTCTGTCTCTGTCTCTGTTTCGGTCTTGTTTTGGCCTTGTTTTCTATTTAGCTGCAACACTTGTGTCATTTTCAATTTTCCATTTCATTTTGCTTGTTGAATTCGCATTGCCTGACATGGAAAATATGTGTCACGGCGACTTGCAGTCGGCCGTGTTTCTCCAGTTGTGGCACATGCAACAACAACAGCAACAACAACAACAACAACAGCAACAACAACAACGCACACAGTAGCTGCTTAAATTTAGCTGCTGATGTATGATCCGCGTCTGTTTACAGTTTTGTCAAACTCATTTCGCTTGATTTTGCTTATTTTTTATTTCGTTTGGCAACAACATCTGGCTCGACTATATGCTAATACGCCAAATGTAGGTGCAGCGCCGAACACATAAACATCATGTAAAAGCCATTAATTTAAATTATAAACCATAAAAGACAAAATAGGCAAGCTAAACACAGAAACAGATATACGAAGAGTGAAAGAGAGGGTAGTAGAGGGAGAGGAACTGAGGCAGAGCTGTGTGCCTATGCCTTATATGTCGATTGTTTAAATTGTCGAGGTTGTTGTTGTTGTTGTTGCTGTTGTTGCTGTTGTCATTGTCATTGCAGTTGTCATAAAATGCGTGTCATCACGCCCACGCCACACAACACCCACTCTTACCCCTCTCACTGCCTCCCACTCTCCCTCTCTCTCTCTCTCTCTCTCTCTCGCCAGCTTGCCTTGACAGCCTCTTGGCGAGTCGGCTGCACTTTACTATCTACCCCCGGCTCAATTGTCACATGTGTGCTGACAACAGCGGCAGCCGCTATTAACACATGCATGCACACACACACACACACACACGCAAATGCATGCAGCATGCACACACGTGTGCATTGGCTTTAAATTTATGTGAATTATTATTGTCAAGCTACAAATGAGGCAATTAGCTAAGGATGATCCAAAATAGCTTTCAAACAACCTGTTGACAGCTGCGTCTATATTATTTTTTTTAAAGTCAGCATAAAATGAGGAATGTGAGTAAATGTGAGCTGGGGCTCAGTTGGAAAATGGAAATTTGGAATGTCAATTATATGTAGTAAGTGTGAAAAACCAAGTGCCAAATAACAATAAACAACTATTAAGCAACATTTAAATGAATTCTTGGTTTATAGAGCAATGAGAGATTGAGAGTAAATTAAAAAAGATGGAATTTCTGTATTTAAAGATTTCTGTATAGTAAAGATTTATGAAAAAAATAAAAAAATATAAAACTCTGCAGCTAAATGTTAACAAGAACTTTTTAAATGTTTATTATAAAAAAATAAATAAATTAAA